TAACAAAACTTCATATACAAGAGCACAAAGAGGCAGAGTGATGGCTAGCAAATGGCTATGTTCATCTTGTCACCTCTTTTGTCTCGAAAGGGTACATTCAATATCTACAAGCCTAGTAGGGCATAGTGCAAAGTGGTGAATGTAATGCTAGTAGATAGCTAGGTAGCTTATATGGTTGGGCATATTTGTGGTTGGGCAAATTTGGGGGGAGAGCTAGCTATCCATAGGTTTGGAAGGGATATGGGGTTCCACGTGCTTTTATTCGGTTAAATTGCATAAAACGGTCACCAGATTTCTGGGTTGTTCACGAAAACGGTTGTCGAAATTTGATCTTTAAGAGAGTTGGTATTTTTATCAAAATTGTAATAACCAACACATGCAGAAGTAACTGGTTGTGATAGATGGTTGTTGGACGACATACAAGCACTGGGGCATTTGGATATCTATCGCAATATGATTACGACATCAAAAGAGTTTTGACTTTGTTAACAATCAGCGACGAACGAAAGAAAGAACTTGCTACATATCGGCCATGGTGCATAGCCATCAGCTTGTTAATTGGGCTGGAATTTCTTTTTACCCATTTGTTTTTCTCTCAATGAATGCTCCAACTAATATAGCAAAAGGGTTGACTTGTGATTTGTGACGCCTCCTACAAAACAGTAAAAAGACTAAAAAGGGAAGGCAGAAAGTATAGAGAGGCTAAAGAGCACATCAAGGAATTGTCATGATTCATTTGGTTTCCATGGCCACTAACACAAAGCTTGAGGGTAGTGTATAGTGTACACAACCAACTAAAAGAGAAGAACACAAAAAGGAAAACCCAATTGAGAACCAATGTTTTCATGCTGTGAATTATTAGGGTTTTGAAAAAGCAAAACATAAGATGAAAAAAAGGGAAGCCTCATAAGAATGGACAAAGGAACATGATAGGTGTTGAAGCACCACAGAAATACATTAAAAAAAAAAACAAATCAACATGCTTGTTTGTGCACATGAAATATATCTACTGCACATCCACCCACATCAGATCTTTCCTCCTTTGCTTGTTTGGAAAGGCTGTTCTTTTTCACTTTCACTGTCTTTGATTTTTCAAGATTTCAATGTAAATCATGATTAGGTAGATTGGGAAAAAAAAGTTAAGTAAATTATTTTCTTATATATTGTGGATGATGAAAGATATCACCAGTTGTTTGGTCATATTATCCAATTACGAGTTTGGTAGGGCAAGGATGTGAACTTCAACTTATATTGGCTATATAATTGGATAATATGACCGATCATACCAATTGACGAAGACGATTAAGTGTAATTTTTCATAAATGTATACATAGAGCACTTTATCTTTCGTTCATAATCTATCGGAGTTCTGAGAGCTCCTTAGTATCATGCAAAATCCAATGGTGTGATATATGATTAGTTACAAACACAAAGTTTGTACACTTGTTACCCTCTCGGTAAACCAGGAAGATCATAACATCAAATTATCTACTAAACACCACCCCATAAATAATGGATAATTCCTCACACTGATAGTCGCTCTTGTCAGTACCCTAAACAACTGTACTGCACAATGCTTAACTCAAACTCGCATGTACCCGGAATCTAAACCTAAGCGTATTCCTTAATTCCTTTACTGAAATACATTAATCGAGTTCCATCACACTATAATATAATGCCAATTCGATCTTATATGAAACCCAAACAAAATTGGCATCCATCCACTCCATAGACAATCAATACTCAATTCCGTTCAAACACTTTCCCATGTTCCAAGCATTGCCGCCACTCCCTCATGTCGACTCGTGCCTCAGCTTTTGATTTGGGGGACAAGATCAAGGGTCCATTTTGACGACTATGTGGGTTACTATTATTGTTTCTGCAATTAATCTCCACAAAAAATCTTTAGCACTATGGTTGGCTAGAGATACACACATGAATTAATTATATTTGTTATTATTAGCGACAATAGATAGAAAGGATAAGCTATTAATAAAGCAATTAGAAAGCTTTATTTTAGCGGGATATATGAATTTGAGTTAATTAATTCAGACACGTAATGAACTTGCTTAGCAGGTTCCTCATGTCACCAATTTTGGACAGTATTTTTGCCTATTTGGCCCTGTCTAATATAAACTCATTAATAAGCCAATTAAAGATTGTTTTTCACTTAAAGTAATGATGAATGGCTAAACAGCAGGTATCCTTACAGACATTATAATATTAGGGTTTCTCAGTATTTTAATTGGCCCCTTCATTTGGTGACATATACCTAAACACTTGGACCTTAATTTTCTCTATTTTAAAATCCTACTGAATTAACAACAATGAACAAATATCTGAGCTAATCATCAAGAAAATCAATAATTAGACAAATCTCTGAGCTAATCAAGTAAGCTTTATATTTATTTATTAGTCCCCTATGCTACATTCTCTGCATATGGAATCTTCAACCAGCCATGGCCTCAGGTTGTTGTATCTAATATATTTGTCGGTGTGATTTCAATTGCAAGTACAAAATGACCTTTTAATTTTATTCGAATCTATGTCTTTAGTGAATAATTAAAATTTAGAAAATTACTGATATATGTAGTTTACATGAAATATCAATGAAACCAATAAATATATAACTTACCGTTTATTATGGGTGAGTAACTTTCTTGAGGCACAAATATTTCATAAATAGTATACTAAGATCGTACTAACGCTTCGCATTTCTATTAACAATATCATATTAACTACAACATGATATCATCTCATGTAAATGCAATAATACGTCGATTTTGACTAAATATATGATAATTCTGGATTAGTATACAACTATAATAATCTGACATGTTTGTCATCTAAATTTGACTCCTGGTCTTTCAAATTGTCTCTTGTATGTAGTCCTAGGACTTCTTCTATGTTTTTTTTTTCACAGTCTACTAGAGAAATCAGGAGATTAAATATAGATTTTACTCAGCATAAAAACAAGCACTTAAAAACATCATCACATGGCCCATTAATGGATAGATTTTGTTTGTTAATGGCAGCCAAGCCGAAGTGTCCATAGCAACCGTCAAAACCTTTCACAATAGTTAATTTCCAACATCGGACATTTCTTATTCCCCCACAACACCAATTACTTAATTATTGTCGTAATCAAGGTGATTAATTATATTATTATATTACAAATATTAATATACATATATTATCTTCAAGTGTGGTCTCCAAAAAATACATATATTATCTTCAAGTGTGGTCTCCAAAAATATAACACAAAGTTCTATAATAGGGTTTTCAGTTTTCACCTTTATCTGCAGTCCCTTTCAAATTACCCATAAGCTAATCAATTTATTTATTTAATAATTCCTAAACCTTCCAGAAACCGAACAGTTTAGTAATTAGTACCATAAAAAAAAAACAATATTGCGTTTTTAATTATTATTTGGTTGGGTTTTTTCAACGTTAATAAGAGAGGGTGATTGGTCTCTTTCAGACTGATTTTCAAAGATGGAATATTATTTTATGTCACTCCCATCCATTTTTGTTTTCCTTTTCTTGTTGTTATATACTTTCATTGGGGAAAAAGCATTTTGAATGATCAGTTTAGGGTTTGGTTTATAGTGGGCTTCCGAATTCTCCTGGATCGTTTTCGACAAGATTATACGGTGGACTTGATATGTTTTTCAGCCGACAAGAGAAGAAAAACAAAAGGATGTACTTCTCATATGCATTCACTTTCAAAACATGGTAAAGAGTTCTCCTATTAAGAATAACAGAGCAAAAACCAATTAATGACGAGTTTGAAGTTTACACAAACTCATTGTATCGTGAGTTAAAATTTAGTTTTAACATTATTATGAATCGTTCGGATTCAAAGATTAAACTTACTCGTTCGTCTTCGGCGCTGACAACATGTAACAACCAGATAGTAATATGATGCACCAGAATTGATATCCTGTATTTCATGGGTTCTTTTGTACGTAACTTCCCAACCGATTTTTCCTTGAAAGGAAAACAGGGACAGGCTCGAAAAAAACAGATAATCTATGTGGATTAGAAATGGGCCGATGCAGCCCAAAAGAGAACTAAGTACTGGATCGAACATGATTACTTACGGCCCGTTTAAGGGTGAGCAACAGAGTTGATTAGAAGTGGGCCGATGTAGCCCAAAAGAGAACTAAATGCCGGGCCGGAAATGATTGCTTAAGGCCCGTTTCAGGATGAGCAACAGAATGGAATGGGCACGTGGGACTGGATTCATCACGAAACCCACGACAGCCCAACTGACGCAATTGCGTGCATGGTTGACATCTATGAAGAAAGTTACACAACATAACGGAAGTTTTTCCCATCATGAGCAGAAACACAAGCTATCTAGCGACACGAAAAAGTGCCGGAAAATGTCGAGGATAATCGTAATCGAATCAAGATTCAATCAAGTTCGTCCGAATTTATTTCCAACTTGATCGGTCGTTTTTATCCGTTTGCAAGAGGATTCATGAAATCGGTAACACAACAAGAGTATCAAATTTGAGAATCGAAATTGAAGTGGTTTACACTTCAATCTGATCATAATTGAATGCCAACAATTTGGTCTAATACAAACTGAATTGAATACTATATCATTTCCCCTTCGCAAATCTCTTTTACCCGCCAGAAAATTTGTTACTGCATCATTAAAAAAAGATGAAAACCAAGACGTAAGCTGTTCCCCACGCATGTTCTTCTACAATATGACACAAACACTCTTAAAGTCTAAACCTTTCTGACATCAGGTTGGTTTTTGCTTTAACGAACAAATCAAGCATTCTCCATTCACCCAAAAGTACGGACCAAGCTCCCAAGTTCAGTTCAAGTTGGTTCCTTGCAAGTCATCTCAAACCTCTCATAACGTCACCGCCTTTTCCCATCCCTTTCCCTGTACTCCAAAACCTGGCCAAACTCTGCATTATAAACCCACCACTACAGACTGTCAAACCAAATAACTTTTGAGGCCATCAGGTATTAGAGAAATGGAGATCAAGGTAGAAGAGAAAGAGCCAACCTCCAACTCGAGCTGCAACGACAGCAGCGACTCCGATTCAGAACACCATCCCCTCCTCGAAACTCGAGAGCCCTGCAACGATGAAGCGGGAACCAAGACTCTGGTCCAGAGAGCCATAACCCAGACGTTCCAGAGCACGGCTCATCTAGCCAACCTTCTCCCGACGGGGACGGTGCTTGCGTTCCAGCTGCTCTCCCCCATATTCTCCAACCAAGGCAGCTGCGATCCGGTCACCAGGTCCATGACAGCGGGGCTCGTGGGGCTCTGCGGCTTGTCCTGCATTCTGTCCAGCTTCACGGACAGCTTCAGGGACAAGGATGGGAAGGTGTGCTATGGATTCGCCACGGTGAAAGGTTTGTGGGTTATCGACGGATCATCGAGCCTTGCTCCTGAAGCTGCGGCGAAGTATAAGCTCAAGTGTATAGATTTCGTGCATGGGGTGATGTCGTTGCTCGTGTTTGCTGCGATTGCTCTGTTTGATGAGAATGTGGTGGGCTGCTTTTACCCGGAGCCGTCGAAGGAGTGTCGGGAGGTTCTCACTGCGCTGCCCGTTGGGTTTGGGGTGGTCTGTAGTATGTTGTTTGTTGTGTTTCCGACGGAGCGCCATGGAATTGGGTTCCCTCTATCTGCCAACTGAGAAACTGTGGCATGGCTGTATAACCTGTGAAAATGATGAGATAAATTTGTTTCGTTAAACTCATTCATATGTATGTATCAATGAAATAACAGTTTGTTAATTCACAACCAGAAAGAAAGCAAGTTACGCACTCTATCCATTTCGAGTTAACTACAGTTTTTACGTAAGCAGAAAGTAAAAGTAGCATGCTTTGAGAAACGATTCCATGCAAGTGAAGGGATGACAACAAAATTGACGTGTAACAGAGAACTAGTTTTTCTAACAAACTCGCCTAACTTTTACACTACCCAGCAGTTGTGATGTCATGGGTTTATAAGCTGCACAAAATGATTTCATACCTCGACATGGGAAGTTACCAAATGGCACATTCAAATTCAATGAGCATTACGAACAAAACGAAGTATCGGCCTTGCACAGTGACATCATCATGAGTAGCAGCAAGGATTGACGAATCAAGCACCTTGGCATTTTCTTTTCTCCACTGTCAAGAATCAATTCGTCTCAGTAAGCCAAGGTATAGGAAGAAAGTCAAATACATGGACCTAAAGTTATCTCATCATAAAACGACTGCATAACCATGGTCGAGATTCGAGAATGAAGTCATCCTACACTACCAAGATGAGAGATAAATAATAGCACGTTAGGGGTCTCCTGCCTAAACTGGAAAGTGGAAAGAATAGGGATGAGTTCATACACTGTTGACGATCATATGTGGAGCTAACATCATGGAACTCCACGCAAACACCTCAGGAGTTTATTAACAGAAGATCTCCCCACGTTTCCTCTTCATCAGCAAGGTTGCTCTAAAACTAGCTTAAACTATTCACATGAACAACGTGATGTAATCGGAATAGGCACCCAAAAGGCCAAAACGCGAAAAAACTTCTCAAGCTAATTCTTTTACAGCTAAAAATTATCTGTCATACCAAATTCAGGTAGTAACTAATTTCCCCTAATCAAAATGTCTATTTCCCAAGAAGTCACCCTCATCTCCACATGCCTAATGGCTTTTCCCTTCACTTAAGTTCAACTTCTGCAGCTCGTATGCCTATAAAGAGGTGTTACCATGAGCCAGAGAGAGCACCAATCTAAAGTTTTCACTTACGAGTAGTATAGCCAAAGGAAAGAGCTCTCAAAGTAAAAAAAATGACCACGAACTTCCCCTCTTTCGACAATGAATCTGCTCCAGAGACGCTGCAGAAAACATTAACTCACAAAGTCATAAGCAAGGCATGTCAGACAACACACGACCTGGCCAGGCACTTACCAACAGGGACAGTTCTCGCATTCCAACTTCTATCGCCCATCGTCACAGGAGAAGGTAACTGTGACTCCAGTGGACTGTACTTGACCGCCGTTCTTGTGGCAGTCTGTGGGTTGTCGTGTTTTCTCCTGTGCTTTACTGATACCTTCAGGGACAAGAGTGGTAAGGTTTGTCATGGGATCGTCACATTCAGGGGCATTTGGGTCATTGACGCTCCAGCAAACATCCCACCAGGATTCGCGGAGAGGTACAGAATGCAGTTGATGGATTTTGTGCATGGCTTCCTTTCTGTGCTTGTGTTTATGGTGGTTGTTCTATTTGATAAGAACACGGTGACGTGCTTCTGCCCAGCACCCTCGGATCAAATCCAGAAGCTGCTCATAGCATTGCCGATTTTAATTAGTGGTATCTGCAGTGCCTTGTTTGCAGTTTTCCCCACCAAACGACATGGGATTGGATATCCCCTCTCTGATATGTGATATAACAATAAGTCTTCCACTTAGAAGTTATCCATCAAATATCTGTAGTACTATTCTTGTCTTGCCTCTCTTTGGAGGATATATCAAGCATGGCATGTCACCTGCAAGTTAATCACTATATTAGCAATATAAAGTTGACTTTGTGTTGATTTATTGATCAAGGAGACCATGGTAATAAAATGCACATAATATAGTTTCACAGGAATAGTGGGGAAGGCACATATATGCATTACTTGACTATGGACCAACCAACAATTAGAAAATGGCGAGCAGTAATACAATAACTGGTAAGGAAAATGCGAGGACAACACCACACAATCATTCTGGAGTAGGTAAAATGGACAAAAAGAAATTGATTTAGAGTCAGCATGATAGAAGTGTGAGGAAAACCTTGTACTGCCCAGGAACTGTACCTCCTTGCAATGGGTGCTTGAAATCTTACAGAGCCGTTATGTACTAAGCCATACTTGATTGCAATTCAACTTAAGCAATGACATGTTTATAGTTGACGAAAGGTGTAGATGGAAGTTGTACAACAACACAGATCGAGATCCTGGATCAAAGCTAATCATAACAATAAACCATCTGATCATTCAATACCGATTCAAAAGCTGCACGTGCCTTTCTTTGATACCAGAACTCACCCACCATTTTGTTCCATACCGCTTCATCAGGAGCACAACCATCAGTTGCCATATCATCTACAACGCGATGGGATTTTTGCAAATCTCCTTTCTCACAGCAAAACTTGACAAGCTCATGAGAAGTCTCATCTTCAACCGATATCCCTCTGGTCCTCATACTTGAGTACAACCTAAAAGATCGATTTAGGCCACCCTCTGCACAAAGGCCTTTCACTACCATATTATTTATCTTAATGTGAAGGCTCCACGTAAGTCAACTTGGTGTTATTCGTCCAAGGACCATCTCATCAAGGAAGTTTGCAGCTTCCTGAAACCTTTTCAAACCACATAACTCAGTGATAACCTTCCCATAAAGTCCTGCATCTGGTTTCAACTCCTGAAGCTTCATTCTGTCAAGAATCGCCACAGCTTCTAAAATCTTCCCTTCCTTGCAGAGCCCAGTAATCAATGTGGTATAAGTTATCGTATTAGGCTTAACACGTTTCATAACCATCAAGTGCAGTAACTCCATGGCTTGCTTTGATCTGCCATTCTTACAAAGACCATCCATTAGAGAACTGTAGGTAAACACATTTGGCTCAACACCATTGGTCTTCATCTTCTCAAACAATCCCATGGCCTCGTCTACCTTCTCAGACTGACACAAACCCTTTATCAAACAAGTATAGGTAACAACAGAAGGTGAGCAACCCTTTCCCTCCATCTCGTGGAACAATTCCTTCGCTTAAGATATCCGATCAAACCTACATAACCCATTAATCATTGTGCCATAAGTATACAAATCAGGAACACAACCGCGACCAGGCATCTCACGGAATATCTTCACAGCAGCGTCGACGGTATCAACGTTCTTGCAAAGAGCTTTAATCAAAATGTTGAGAGTAACTAAGCTAGGTGGAATGCCCATTTCCCTCATATGCCGATAAAAGCTAATGGCCTGCTTCACCCTGTTAGAGAGTGGTATAAGATCCACGATTGAACCTCTCCCAACAACTCGAGTTGTTAAGCACCATACACGGGCCTGTATAAGATCCAGCATAACCTTCTCCCAACAACTCGAGTTATTGGGACCAACTGGTTTATGACATGGTATCAGAGCCTTCTGTGACCATACACGGGCGTGTAAAGAAGTGGTTAAGCACCATACACGGGCCTGTATAAGATCCAGCATAACCTTCTCCCAACAACTCGAGTTATTGGGACCAACTGGTTTATGACATGGTATCAGAGCCTTCTGTGACCGAGAGGTCTTGTGTTCGATTCCCGGTGACCCCATTTGTTAAGCACATGGTATTCTTGTCTTCAGACCTGTGCAAACTTCAAGCCCTTGTGGTTGGCTTTCGTTTGAGGGGGCGTGTTAGAGAGTGGTATAAGATCCGGCAGAACCTTCTCCCAACAACTCGAGTTATTGGGAGCAACTGGTTCTTGACTTGGTATCAGAGCCTAGAACCAAAAGGTCATGTGTTCGAATCTCCACGACCCTCAATATTAACTGTTGTCTTTCAAGCACATGGTATGGTGGGCCTGTGCAAACTTCAAGCCCGTGGGTTGGCTTTCGTTTGAGGGGGCGTGTTAGAGAGTGGTATAAGATCCAGCGTAACCTTCTCCCAACAACTCGAGTTATTGGGAGCAACTGGTTCTTGACACACCCGGCCCCCCTCGACGAGGACCGAGAGCACAGTGACGAAGGACCTCTCCGTCGGCTTGCAATCAAATCCGTCCATCGCACGGAAAACCCTGATAGCTTCCTCTGGCCTGTGAACCCGACCATATGCCATGCATATAGACAGGAAAATGTCTTCCGTGATTCGACACTTCTCCACCTTCATTCTGCTCAGCATCTCCTCGGCCAGCCTGAATTTATTCGCGGTGAGTAACTTGGAGATCATGATGTGAAACGTGGAGCGGTCGTGCTTATACCCATTGCTGTACTCGGCGGTGGCGGAGTCGAATATCCGCAGGGCCTTCTGCACGTCCTTCTCGGCTCGTAGCAGCTGCTCGACTTGCGAAGTAGTGATTTTGTTCGACCATTTAAACAGAGCCTTCGCGACCATACTCTTCTCATGGGTGGCGACTTTTATCGAGCAGGTGGTCTGCAATCGCCAAATGTCAAGAAATTTAACCGCGGTGATGCAGAGGTATCTATGCCCAGCGGCAATGCACGACCACAAATCAATTCGTGGGATTCTGACGATCGGCAAAAAATTCTGTTGCAATCTCTCAGGGTGTGTAGGCGAACCTGTGCGACAGAAATGTGACGACGGCGCTCTTTCTGTGCCGGCAACGGTTCACTCGTTTTGTAGATTAACTACTGCGAGGCCGCGACAGAGCCAGGGCAAAGAGTGAAAAGGGAGGAGGGAATTTCAGTCAGACGGGCCAAAAGTCCAATGATACAGGCCCATTATATTATCAGCCTGACTAATTAAAATTCCATCCAGCGTGAGTTTCCATAAGATAACGTTTTTTCCCCCACGTGTTTATTTTCCATCCGGGGATTTGTAGTGCGAGGATCTATAACAACTATTGTCGTGTCGTTTAGTCGTGAGTGACAGTCGGGAGCCACAGAAAAAAACAGTCTCATCATCGTCATATAGAGAGAGCTTTTGCTGTGTAGCTACACTGCATTCACCCAAAATTACGGGCCAAGCTCCCATCTTCAGTTCCAAGTTAGTTCCCTCTACTTCAAAAGGCCAAACTCTGCACCCCAAATGACCGTCAAACCAACAACTTTGAGATCAGCAGGTATTGGAGAAATGCAGATCAAGGTAGAAGAGAACGGGAAAACCTCCATCTCGAGCTGCAACTACGACGGCAGCAGCAGCAGCAGCTCCGAATCCGATTCAGTGCACCACCCACTCCTCGAAACACAAGAGCCCTGCGACGAGGATGCGGCAACCAAGACTCCGGTCCAGAGAGCCATAGCTCAGACGTTCCAGAGCACGGCTCATTTAGCCAACATTCTCCCGACAGGGACGGTGCTCGCGTTCCAGCTGCTCTCCCCCATATTCTCCAATCAAGGCAGCTGCGATCCGGTCACAAGGTCCATGACCGCCGGCCTAGTGGCAGTCTGCGGCTTGTCCTGCATTCTGTCCAGCTTCACGGATAGCTTCAGGGACAAGGATGGGAAGGTGTGCTATGGGTTCGCCACGGTGAACGGGTTGTGGGTTATCGACGGATCGTCGAGCCTCCCTCCTGATGCTGCGGCGAAGTATAAGCTCAAGTTTATAGATTTCGTGCACGGGGTGATGTCGTTGCTCGTGTTTGCTGCGACTGCTCTGTTTGATGACAATGTGGTGGGTTGCTTTTACCCGGAGCCGTCGAAGGAGTGCCGGGAGGTGCTCACTGCGCTGCCCGTTGGGTTTGGGGTGGTCTGTAGTATGTTGTTTGTTGTGTTTCCGACGGCCCGCCATGGAATTGGGTTCCCTCTCTCCGCAAACTGAGAAACTGTGGCATGGCTGTATAACCTGTGAAAAATGATGAGATAACTTAGTTTCGTAAATTCATTCATGTATGTATCAAAAATCAATGAATCAACCGCAGTTTGTTAGTTCACGAGCAGAAAGAAAGCAATTTCCACGCTTTCTCCATTTCGAGTTAACTACAGTTTTTACGTAAGCAGAAAGTAACAGTAGCATGCTTTGAGAAACGATTCCATGCAAGGGAAGGGATGACACCAAACTTGACGTGTAACAGAGAACTCGTTTTTCTAACAAACTGGCCTAACTTTTACACTAACCAGCACTTGTGATGTCACGGGATTATAAGCTGGACAAAATGAATTCATACCTCGACCATGGAAAGTTGCCAAATGGCACCTTCAACTTCAATGAGAAATATGAACAAAACGAAGTATCAGCCTTCCACAGGGACATCACCATGAGTAGCAGCAAGGATTGGCGAATCAAGCACCCCTCGCATTTTCTTTTCTTCATTGTCAAAAATCAATTCGTCTTAGTAAGCCACGGTGTAGGAAGGAAATACAAGAATCAATATTTAATCAGTCCTTTGCACATTTTCTTGAAAGAAAGTCAATCCCATGGACCAAAAGTTTGGCCACTCTCAATCAACGACTGCAAAACCATGATCGAGAATGAAGTCATCCTACACTACCACGATGAAAGATGAGTAATAGCACGTTAGAGGTCTCCTGCCTAAACTGGAAACAATAGGGATGAGTTCATACACTATTGACGAGCATATGTGGAGCTAACATTTTTTATATATATATATAATGTGGAGCTAACATAATTAAACTCCACGCAAAGAACCCAGGAGTTTGTTAACAGAAGAACTCCCCCACGTTTCCTCTTCATCAGCAACGTTGCTCTAAAACTAGCTTAAACTCTTGGCATGAACAACGTAATGTAATCGGAATAGGCACCCAAAACCAGAAAAAACTTCTTTTACAAGCTAAAATTAATCAGTCATACCAAATTCTGATCACAGAATTCAGGTAGTAACTAATTTCCCCTAATCAAAATGTCTATTTCCCATGAAGTCACCCTCATCTCCACATGCCTAATGGCTTTTCCATTCACTAAAGTTCCACTTCTGCAGCTCATATGCCTATGAAGAGGTGTTACCATGAGCCAGAGAGAGAACCAATCTAAAGTTTTCACTTACGAGGAGTATAGCTGAAGGGAAGAGCTCTATAGTAAAACAATGACACCGAACTTCCCCTCTTACGATAATGCATCTGTTCCAAAGACGCTGCAGAAAACATTGACTCACAAAGTCATAAGCAAGGCATGTCAGACAACACACGACCTGGCAAGGCACTTACCAACAGGGACAGTTCTTGCATTCCAACTTCTGTCGCCCATCGTCACAGGAGAAGGTAACTGTGACTTCAGTGGAATGTAATTGACCGTCATTCTTGTGGCAGTCTGTGGGTTGTCATGTTTTCTGCTGTGCTTTACTGACAGCTTCAGTGACAAGAGTGGTAAGGTTTGTCATGGGATCGTCACTTTCAGGGGCATTTGGATCATTGACACTCCGGCAAACATCCCACCGGGATTCGCGGAGAGGTACAGAATGCAGTTGATGGATTTTGTGCATGGCTTCCTTTCTGTACTTGTGTTTGTGGTGGTTGTGCTATTTGATAAGAACACAGTGACATGCTTCTTCCCAGCACCCTCATCTCAAATTCAGAAGCTGCTCATAGCATTGCCGATTTTAATTAGTGGTATCTGCAGTGCCTTGTTTGCAGTATTCCCTACCAAACAACATGGGATTGGATATCCCCTCTCTGATATATGGTATAACAATAAGTCCTTCACATAGAAGTTATCCATCAAATATTTGTAGTACTATTCTTGTTTTAACTCTCTTTAGAGGATATATCAAACATAGCATGTCACCTGCAAGTTAATCACTATATTAGCAATATAAAGTTGACGACTTTGTGTTCATTTATTGACCAAGGAGACCATGGTATATAATGCACCTAATATAGTTTCACAAGCGTAATGGGGAAGGCACATATATGCATTACTTGACTATGCATCAAACAAGCATTAGAAAATGGCGAGCAGTAGTACAATTACTGGTAAGGAAAATGCGAGGACAACAGCACACAATCATTCTGGAGTAGGTAAAACGAACAAAAAGAAATCGATTTAGAGTAAGCATAATAGAAGTGGGAGGAAAACCTTGTACTGCCCAGGAACTGTACCTCCTTGCAATGGGTGCTTGAGAAGGTGTACAACAACACAGATCAAGACCCTGGATCAAAGCTAATCATAACAATAAACCATCTGATCATTCAATACCGACTCAAAAGCTGCACGTGCTTTTCTCTGATCCCAGAATCCACCCACCAGTGTGTTCCACAACCCTTCATCAGGAGCACAGCCATCAGTTGCCATGTCATCTACAATGCGATCGGCTTTTTGCAAATCTCCTCTCTCACAGCCAAACTTGACAAGCTCGTGGGAAGTTTCAACTTCAACCGATATCCCTCTGGTTCTCATACTTAAGTACAACCTAAATGCTCGATTTAGGTCACCATCTGCACAAAGGCCTTTCACTACCATATTATTTATCTTAATGTGAAGGCTCCAGGTAAGTCGGCTTGGTGTTATTCGTCCAAGGACCATCTCATCAAGGAAGTTTGCAGCCTCCTGAAACCTTTTCAAACCGCATAACTCAGTAATAACCTTCCCATAAAGTCCTGCATCTGGTTTCAACTCCTGAAGCTTCATTCTGTCAAGAATCGCCACAGCTTCTAAAACCTTCCCTTCCTTGCAGAGCCCAGTAATCAATGTGGTATAAGTTATCGTATTAGGCTTAACACGTTTCCTAACCATCAAGTGCAGTAACTCCAAGGCTTGCATTGATCTGCCATTCTTACAAAGACCATCCATTAGAGAACTGTAGGTAAACACATTTGGCTCAACACCATTGGTCTTCATCTTCTCAAACAATCCCATGGCCTCGTCTACCTTCTCAGACTGACACAAACCCCTTATCAAACAAGTATAGGTGACAACAGAAGGTGAGCAACCTTTTTCCTCCATCTCTTGGAACAATTCCTTTGCTTCAGGTATCCGATCAAACCTACATAACCCATTAATCATTGTGCCATAAGTATACAAATCAGGAACACAACCACGACCCGGCATCTCACGGAATATCTTCACAGCAGCGTCGACGGTATCAATGTTCTTGCAAAGAGCTTTAATCAAAATGTTGAGTGTAACTAAGCTAGGTGGAATGCCCATTTCCCTCATATGCCGATAAAAGCTAATGGCCTGCTTCACCCGGCCCTCGTCGACGAGGACCGAGAGCACAGTGACGAAGGACCTCTCCGTCGGCTTGCAATCAAATACGTCCATCGCACGGAAAACCCTGATGGCTTCCTCTGGCCTGTGAACCCGACCATATGCCATGCAAATAGACAGGAAAATGTCTTCCGTGATTCGACACTTCTCCACCTTCATTCTGTTCAGCATCTCCTCCGCTGGCTTGAATTGGTTCGCGGAGAGTAACTTGGAGATCATGATGTGAAACGTGGAGCGGTCGTGCTTGTACCCATTGCTGTACTCGGCGGTGGCGGAGTCGAACACCCGCAGTGCCTTCTGGACGTCCTTCTCTGCTCGTATCAGCTGCTCGACTTGCGATGTGGTGATTTTGTTCGACCATTTAAACAGTGCCTTCGCCGCCATCGTTGATGCCAATCCGTTTCCACTGGGTGGCGCCTTTTATCGAGCAGGTGGTCTGCAATCCCTAAATGTCAACAAATTACACCGCGGGAATGAACAGGTGGCTATTTCCAGCCACGACGCGTGAACACAAATCGATCCATGGGTTCTCAGAATCGGAGAACGACTCAATTGCAATCTCTCCAGGTGTGGCTGAGACGCCTGTGCGAAATCACTGTGACGACGGCGCTCCTTTCTTGCTGTCAAACTGTTTTCCCTTTGTTTTGCAGATCGACTCCCGCCACCTGGCAGGGCAGGCTGAAGGAGAGGAGGGAATTTCATTCCACTCAGAAGGCCCACTGGGGAAACAGGCCCATTACATTAACAGGCCCAGTGAGTAATGGAGAGACTGAGTAAAGGCACTTGAGAAATAGCCCATCTGACTTGAGTTTCCAAAGGCCCAAGTTCATGATCCCATTTAATTTAACTCGAAACTAATAAATCTTTGCTTGAACAATTAGTTACCAGCTCTTGCGAACTTTGGTGACCGACGTCGGAACAAGCAAAGCAACCAAGCGTCACAAGAAAGTCGATAAGGGAATCATGGGCGAGAGAGAAAGAAGAAACAACAGCTATTAGCAGTGGACTGGACGTGCCGTTGATTATGGGCCTCTCCCTCGAGATAAGAAATGGGCCCACCACCAACCTCTATCTATCCTCCTCGTAATCCTCTTTTCTTATGTCACCAACCAACCATATGCTGACAAATGTACACGTGTTACCCTCTTACACCTCCCTCCTAAAATATAAAGAAAATAACAAAATACAAAAAACAAAATATCGCCACCCCGTTTCCCCAAAATTCTGATCAGGTACCACCCGTCCCAGTCCGGACTCCAGTATTCCTTCCGCATTACCTACAAGACAATTTTTCACTGAAATGAATGTGCATGAGGTGAACAATATGTGATTAATTTTGATAAAGAAAAGGTAATAACGAGTATTAGTGGTTCCGATTAGTTAAAAAGTATCAGAAAAATTCACTTTTAGGTTGCATGGTAACACGCGGTTTAGTAAATACTCGTACGTATATCCACAACAAAGATTGCAATGTCGTTCAATGGTGACTTGTTTGAGTTAGAGTGACGATGGGCCCAGAAAACCTCATTATAAGGAATTGAGGATAGGTATGATTATGGATGATGAACCGTAGCTTGCAAACATGCGGGGGAAAAAGAAAAATATAAGTGAAAACCAAAACTTCCCAGCCGTTGATCTTCTGATGGAGATGCAAATGGTACCATAGTTATCATGGTCCGCGACGCATCCGATAGCAACCGAATTGAGAAGGCAACAAAATGATCCACAATCAACCGATCGTCTAGCTCCACAGTCGAGAGCCACAGAAAGAAAAAAAAAACAGTCTCATCATCGTCATAAGAGAGAGAGCTTTTGCTCTGTAGTGTCACATTTCCCCCCTCTGCAGTCCTCCAATCACGGCCATGGAGTCGCGAGTCCTCTCACGCGCTGCCGCTCTCCCCCAGCTCCGGAGGCTCCCGCGGGAGGGCGGCGGCTCCTCCTCGTCCAGCTTCCTCTCGATGAAGCCGATCAGCGGCGGAATCGGCGCCGAAGGCGCCGCCGCCAACCTCATCTGCGGGAGGCAACTCTGCCCGTTCCTCCTCCTCGAGGCCAAGCGCGAGACCGCCGTCAAACCCGTTCTCGCCGCCGCCTCCTCTTCTCCGGCCGAAGGAAGCGATTCCGCCGGGTGAGTGAGGTCCGTTCCCAAAAAAAAAAGGGGAAAAAAGAATTTCCCGGTGTATCGGGTCAACCCGGTTCCATCTCGGGCTGACTCGCTTGCTCTCTCTCCTTTTTTTTGTCCGCAGGGCCAAGGTTGGCTTCCTCGAGAAGTACCCGTTCCTCATCACCGGGTTCTTCTTCTTCATGTGGTACGTACGGTTCCTGACCCGACCCGACTCCCCCGCTCCTTCGTGATTAATGATTGATTTAAATTATAATGATCCCTTTTATTTAGGTACTTCTTGAACGTCATCTTCAACATCATGAACAAGAAGATCTACAATTACTTCCCTTACCCATAGTAAGCTTTCCCTTTTTATTACACCCTTAATTAACTCCTCATTCGGTAATTATCTTTTAATTAAACGGGCAACTGTTGTTAATTAAATACTTACTTAATTATTCGTTGTTTTAACGGCGTAGCTTCGTGTCGGTAATCCATTTGGCGGTGGGAGTGGTGTACTGTCTGATCAGCTGGGCCGTGGGCCTTCCCAAGCGCGCGGTGAGTCCAACTTCTTTCCGGCCCATTACAATATCCGGATCGTATTTTGTTTCTCTGTTCTCATTGTTCATTTGTTTGTTTGATGGCAGCCAATAGACGGGAACTTGTTGAAGCTGCTGATTCCAGTTGCGGTATGCCATGCTCTAGGACATGTGACCAGCAACGTCTCCTTCGCAGCCGTTGCCGTCTCCTTCACCCACACCATCAAAGGTACCGTAGCGAAATTCGACTCGAATCGTCGTGCCTTCGAAACACGTACTCGATACTTCGTAACCGTGGTTATGAATGTTGGTTGGTTATATGCAGCTCTCGAGCCATTCTTCAATGCGGCTGCTTCGCAGTTCATCCTCGGGCAGTCGATCCCCATATCGCTGTGGCTGTCTCTTGCCCCTGTCGTCCTTGGTACGAGAAATCTCCGATGCTAGCTATTTTCTTCGTGTGTTCGTACTTTGTGATTGATGAAAACGACATGATGATTTGTTTGGCTTGAATGTGAAGGTGTGTCGATGGCATCGCTGACCGAGCTTTCGTTCAACTGGCTGGGGTTCATCAGCGCCATGATCTCCAACATTTCCTTCACTTACAGGAGCCTTTACTCCAAGAAGGCTATGGTAAAATTTGGTTAGAAAATTACATTTGCGTATAGTAAAAAAAATGGGAAGGGTAATTAACTATGGTGTCCACTTATGTTCCTGCAGACGGATATGGACAGCACTAATGTGTATGCGTACATCTCGATCATTGCTCTAATCGTTTGCATTCCGCCAGCCATTTTCGTGAGTAAAACGGGATGAATTTGGCACTACTGCTTCTAATTTGTTTCGTCTTTGGACCGGATTAGGAATTCTTCCCAATCTTTGCTCTCTATTTTGGGATTTTGCAGGTTGAGGGACCTCAGCTAATGAAGTACGGGTTCAATGATGCGATCGCCAAAGTTGGGATGACCAAATTCGTCACAGACCTCTTCTGGGTTGGACTGTTCTATCACCTCTACAATCAGGTAGCGTAGGAGACTTGGAACGCAAGTTATATATAATGAAACTGGAGTTCCTCTTCCTCCCCTGAAAATTTCCCCTGTTTTTTCTTGTATGGTTTTTGCAGCTGGCCACTAATACTCTGGAGAGGGTTGCACCGCTGACACATGCTGTTGGCAATGTGTTGAAGCGTGTGTTTGTCATCGGCTTCTCGATCATTATCTTTGGTTAGTAAAATCAGCTGCTCGTGGAATTTTCTTGTGGGGTTTTGGTTTGAATGGTCTTGTTTACATGGATCTGAAACTTGTTTGTGGTTGTGTGTGGATGGAAGGTAACAAAATCTCGACACAAACTGGGATCGGAACATGCATCGCCATTGCTGGAGTGGCGATCTACTCGTTGCTCAAGGCCAAGATTGAGGAGGAGAAGCGGGTGAGTTTCGGTTTTTTCAAAGCCTTGAAATTTGTATCTCGATGTACCTCGAGATGGATCAAAAACTACAATGTTGTCTAACGCGACCTCTCGAACGAAAATACGTGAAGTGAGTTGGAGTTTGCTGAGATTTATCGTACTTAAGCATGACATTGATGTTAGCAGAGTAACTAGGACGAGATCAAGCAACTTACAAACATTTTTGTTTATCATGTCAAAAGAGTAATTTTGAGTTAATCTTCATTCCAATGTTCCATCCATTCCCTGACCAATTTCCTCGTCTTTTTTTTTTCTTGTAGCAAAAGAAAGCCACATAAGGAAGAAAGGACTAAAGAGCTATGGCGTGTGGGAGGAAACCTGATCATCGGCTTGTAAAGCCTTTCATATATATTCTGCTACTATATTATTCTTGTGATCAAGAAGTTCTTTTCCCCCCTGTTTTCTCTGCTTTCTTCTCGATCTTTTTTTTTACCTCCTGCATTATTGTTCTTTGATTCTGAGTAACGACAATTTGCTAATCTGCAAATCTCTCAAGTTCTTGTTGACTTGAAATAATGTTACTTTCCTTTGTACTTCTCTGATTAAGAGAGCATATCCACATATATATCATGTGACTCATGAGTCATGCCTCATTTGTAGGGATTTTTAGAGATGTGTCTGGTTTGGTTTGTAGAATTTGTGATATGAAGAATTTGAAAAACTAAACCTCACAGATAGGCAACTACAAATGTGGTTTTGCCATAGAAGGTTGAAGGATAGAAAGGATGGCAAAGGAGATGTCACCGCGACCAAGAAACATCGTAAATCACCTAACTTGATCAAGAAGTCCCCTTTGTTATTGGAGTTTCCCATTGATCAAGAATTCAATGTAGAAGACATTGATCTCGACCGAGCTGTTAGAAGTGACTATGAATCTCAATGCGGTTCAGGGTCTAAGCTCGTATGCCGATACCGAGAGTGTTGGCTAATTTTGATGAGCACTTGTGCATGCCCTTGTTCAAACCACACCATCAATCACCGTTATTGCTTTCTTATACTAAGCTCCAAGCAATATCCTATGTTGAAGCACAATTGGATGGGATGTTGAGGGAAGATGGACCGATTCTAGGGTTTGAGTTCGATCCACTGCCAACTGGTGCATTTGGAGTTTCAATAGGTGTGTGCTAAGTAATTGATTTTGCCTAATTACTAGCGGTTAAAGTAAAGAACAATATATATATCTCTTTGCTTACTCAAGTTTTTCTAATCAAAATCACCAGCATATTTGTTGCACTATATGCATTCTTGGGGTCACAACTCACATGCTTCATAAAAGATAATATCCCATAACCCCTAAATGTTGAATGCATGTTGGTGATCGCTTAGTGTTATGCAACAATTGAACATTATGCACTTTGTTAGTACGAGAATGGTCTATATGTGTGTCTGTATTGATCTTTATATCTTGCGAACTAACTTGCTTTCATTTTTTTTTTGTGCAACGGCCATTGTAGAAAAATATGAGAGAAATTATAGTCAGAGATTTCGAAGGCATGAAGGAAAGATGAGAAAAGTTTGTTCCAAATTACCTCTCTCGTGTTTTCTTTTTGCTATAGTTACTTGTCCAGTTGTTGTCCATTTTCATTTTTCAACTGATCTTAGCCAAATTATGAACTTCATCACAGGGGTTGATGAAGTCTCTTCACGGAGCAGTTCATCATTTTCCGAAGGTATCGACAGACGCAAAATCTCCATTGTTGTCATATACGTCTCCACAGAGTAAAGAATCAAATCATCGCCTTTCATCACCTTACACAAAATGATTGGGACTACCTTCAATCACTACTGGAATCACCGTTTATAAATAACAAAAGAAATGACAAATCTAGATCGAACTATTTTATTAAATCAAAAAGCACCCACATGTTTCATGATGATAAAGTATATCAAGACAACGATGATACGCGACTCAGGAAGAAACAAAAAGTAACCCATCTTCATATGAAGCTAGATAATGCCCTAAAAACTTGAGCAAAGGCAATTTGTTTTTGGAACATATACAACATATAATGTATTCACATAGATGCATATTGGATTGTGCTTTTGATATGCTCGACTTCCTAGCTCATCATTCTGGATGTGTAACAAGATTGCAATTTTTGAGAGATATTAGTTTCACATCTGTGTCATGTTTTATTTTTTGGTATTTTAATTATTGTGTCATTAGATAACGTGAATTGTTAATATGTAAATTCCTGAATTAACACTTACAATTGTAGCATATTTTTTGTAATGTACCATTTATACATTTTGACCTTGCGAAGAGATTTTTGTAAAATCGTGAACAATATGTGATGACGAGCAACGATTCATTACATCATATCTAATTGCATCAAACCAAATATAGATTTGGATTACACAAATCTTTCTTAAAAATAAAAGAAAACATAAGTACTTTTAATCAAATTTTAATTCGCATTATACTATTTGTCAAAACCTATTCTGATTCAGATCACCCTCGGGTCGGATGATGTACCCACCCCATATACCTATCTATAATCTATCCATGACCCATGTGCTTGCTGGCTAGAACACTTGAGTATCCATTATCATTAGGCCCAATCCAACAGAGAGAATCGAGCCCAGCCCACAAAGGGAAGGCGGGAACCGAATTTCGGGAGGGAGCAGGGCCCCCGCCATTTGCGTCGACACAAACCTGAAAACTCAACTTTCTGGTCTCACCTCAAGATCTCACGTTAACGGCTTCATCTGCTCCTTCTTCGCAAGCAACCAAAGAATCCAGGCCATTCACAGCACAGCACAAACAAGCAAGCAACCTCGTCGACAACGTTAACCAAGGAAAAAAAAAAAAAAAACATAAACACAAAGTAATAACAGTTTGGTCGAGATCAAAGCAACCTATGATTGCCACGCAGAACCATAATAAAATAAAAAAAAGTGAAAAAAAAGTGAAAAAAAGGAACAAAGAACAGTCGTAGCGTAGATAGATAGAACAATTGGAACGCAGGGGGGAACTTCATAAAAAGGAACCCTTTTAGTTCGATTGAGATTTGAGCCTACTCATTAAAAAAGATAAGATTAAAAATTTATAAAAAATGAAAGACAAAAATTTAAAGTTGTTGAATTTTATTATAGTGATGGATTGGAGAAGAAGAATTATAATGCTGCTGCCTTCTTCGTTGCAATCTCTCTCGAATTATTTGTTTTTATCGTGTTTATTCACTCTTATTATTCTTATTCCTGTTGGGATTATTATTAATTACCTTTCTTTCTTTCTTTCTTTCTTTTTCGCGGATCTTCTTCTTCTTCCAATCCCCAATTCTTATTCAGTCGGGTTGTTGTTTGAGGCATTCCAATTCCCATGTCGGCTGCTGTTAATAATCCCTTCTTGTTCTCCAGCGTCGGGCGGTATCTCTTGAGAGTTTCGTATGATTGATAAAAGGCTAATCGTTTGATCCCAGTATTTCTTCCCTTTTACCCTTTGGTCTCTCGGTGTTTCCTTGATCTGGGAAACCCTAATTCGCCGATTTTTTGTCGAATTGGTTCGGGATGGATTCGAATTCCGACGGGGAAGATGAGCAGCAGCACCACCGGAAGCCCAACAACAAGGGCTCCGGCGGGGAGGGGCAGGGCAAGCCGAAGCGTCAGATGAAGACGCCTTTCCAACTCGAAACCCTCGAGAAAGCTTATGCCTGTTCGTAGTCTTACCACTCTTCGTTGTGTTTACGAATTCAGTTCATTGTTTTGAGTTGGTTCTTTTGGGCTGTGGTTTTGATCTTGATCCCCTTTGTTTGCAATTGGGTGCCCGTGAGAATATGATTTGTGATTGTTGGTGGAAGAATCTGAACATAAGAACGTGGTTGCTGTACTGTACAAGGCATGTTAAACTTTAGGTGGCCTGGGGTGTGTGTTTGATTATGAGCTCTTCAGTTTGATTCTGTTGATTCAATACATTGTGAATGTGATGCTTCATATTTTTGGACTTTGGTTTTTATGTGGTAGTGTTGGATATTAGCTCATTAAAGCTAGTTGCTTTTGTTTCGTGCAGCGGAAACATACCCAACTGAGGCGACGAGGGTGGAGTTGTCTGAGAAATTAGGCCTGACGGACAGGCAATTGCAGATGTGGTTTTGCCATAGGAGGTTGAAAGACAGAAAAGAGGAGAAGAAAGAAGAAAGAAAGGACGTCACCCCTGCAAAGAAACCACGAAAAGCTCCACCTCCCTTGCCCGACTCACCTGTCGAGGAACTCAAGCGTGCAGTTTCTGATCCTGGGAGTGACTATGGGTCTGGCTCAGGTTCTGGTTCCAGCCCGTATATGGATTCAAGGAAAATGGTTGTGGCTGATGTGCCATTGGGGAGGGGGTACTTCGAACCATCTCCTCAGTCAGCAATGGAGCGTAGAGCCATTGCATGCGTGGAGGCACAATTGGGGGAGCCTCTGAGGGAGGATGGTCCTATTCTAGGAGTCGAGTTTGATCCATTGCCACCTGATGCCTTTGGAGCCCCAATTGGTATGCTTCTTAATTGACTCGATATCATTCATATTTTATTAATGATTCGCAAAACTTAGCTGCATTACAATGCCCATTTGCTCTGATGTTTGGTTCCGACTTGTAGGATGAGCTCATTCTCTTGAATTAAAAGTTACTGATTTGCTGACTTCTTTGCTTATCTCGACTTCATGAATGTATCACAAGCACTCATATATTCAGTGTATTCCATATGTGGCGATTCTCGTATTTCCTAACTGATCTCAAATTTATTGCTTACACATTGTCCACATTATTCTGCTTTCAAATTGGCATTGTGTTCTTCTGTGTAGCGGCTGTGGTGGAACAGCAGAAGCGGTACCCTTATGATGGAAAGATGCTTCAAAAGCGTGAGGGGAAATCAAAAAAGGTATTTTCCACAATTCCTCCTTTGAATTTGTGCTTATGTACAATTTATTTTGCTTGCACATTTATGTATCTTGTTTTCTTTTTCTGGTTTCTCCCTGTCCTGTTATAACACTTAGGAGACAGGGTGGATGATGCATTTTCATCATAGTTTGAAGCTGCAGATTTATGATATCTACTAAACTCCATGCATTTTGTTGTCATCCTGGTCCAGATTATGCTAGTTCCTTTTGTTGTAGGCATATGTAATTACAACAGCATGGATTATAGTGAATGCACTAAATTTTGTATGATTGAAGAAGTTGTCATAAGCACTTAAGCAGGGCATTCTTTCTTCGATCGATTCAGATAACTAGCTGAGCTGTGCCAGAACCAGCAAGTTACTTGTCTTTAGGAGTCGCATTCTTGCCATCTTATCCCTAGTTCTCACTTAAGACAGTTATTGTTACCTCGTAAATTATTGCTTTCGGTGCTAAACGTTCCCAGAATGTCACAATACCTCTTGATGGTCATATTAGACACTCATAAGGAATACTAAGTGTCATAGATTTGTGTAATTTGTCACTTCAAACTATAGATATATATTTTTTTGTGTGGCTCTGTTGCATTACATCTGCTTCATTTCAAGTTAAATTATGGAAATCCTGGCCTTTTATGGTCTAATGTAATCATTTCTTGCTTGACAGATAGTAACTGTGTGCAAACAGTTTTCTGTTGCCAGTCCTTACCAACTTAAATTGCCATTTCAGGCCTCTTCAAGGCCTCTTCATGAGTATCAGTTTGTCCAGGATCAGCCCAGCATAAGAGCTGACACATATGGACAAGTTGCCCAGCATTCTTACCATGATCTGCCAGCTGATACTCTTAGGGGAAGAACTTCACCATTTGTACGTGGAGATGAACATTTGCCCAGGGTTCATGGTGTCCAAACTCCAGTGTCACGTGTACGTCTCTTATCTCCACAGGAAAACAAGGGTCATCTTCCATCAACTCATTGGGATGATGATTATCTTTTGAGATCAGAACCTTTCCCAAACCATAGAATAAAATCTGAGTCTACCAGTCACCATATGGCAGCACCAGAAAGTACACACATGTTCCATGATACTGATGTCTTCCAGAGTGAAGCAGATCTGCGTACAGAGAAGAAACGCAAAATAAAGGTTTGTTACTGACATTTTTTTTTGTCTCGGTTATTGTTTCCTGCTGTGCATCTGTACTTATCTTTCATTGACTGTGTCAGAGTGAAGATGCTAGACTTTCCAGGGAAGCTGAGGCGAATGAGATTCGAATGCGCAGAGAGCTTGAGAAACAAGAAATTATGAGACGCAAGGTAATGGTTTAGTTTTTTATAAGCTGTACCGCTCTTGAGATCCAGGCAAGGAAATTTTATTCTGATGTAATGACATTTTCAATTTATTTTCCATGGAAAATAGAATGAAGAGCGAACTAAGAAAGAAAAGGAGAGGCAAGACCGTGAAAGAAAGAAGGAGGAAGAGAGGTTAATGCGCGAAAGACAACGCGAGGAGGAGAAGTCACTGCGAGAACAAAAACGCGAGCTGGAAAGGAGGGAGAAGATGCTGCAAAAAGAGAATTTAAGGGTTCGTAGGTTATCTGCATGTTGATATGATATTTTGGTTCTCTTTTTTTAATGTGTATTACCCGGCTCTCTTTTTTCTTAATTATCATTGGTCTGTTTGTCTATTAACTTAACAAGTATATATTATGTTAGGCTGAGAAGCAGAGGCAGAAAGAAGAGTTAAGGAAAGAGAGAGAGGAAGTTAGACGTAAAGCTGCTATTGAGAAAGCAACTGCACGGAGGATTGCCAAAGAGTCTTTGGATCTTATTGAGGATGAACAGTTGGAGCTCATGGAATTGGCTGCTGCAAGCAAAGGGTTACCCTCAGTAGTTCACCTAGACTATGATACGTTGCAAAACCTTGATGCATTCAGAGGTATTCCAGGAGCAAGTGTGTGGTTGAATTTGTCGAAAGTCTTACATCCGTATTTTGGCACTTTGTGCAGCTAGAAATAATGAATTTCATGTTTTGTTTCTGCTTCATTCGCACCATGAAAATTAGTTATCATTACAGAGCTTGTTATTGCATACTTTACTAGTCATAATGAAAAGAATATGCCTCCTACTGATGTTATTACACTTTTGTCTCGTTTATTTCTGATGTACCATTTTGACGTGCTCTTTGGTTCTGACCTATCATAACTTGATTTCCTTCTCTAGATTCCTTATGTACATTCCCATCAGAGTCGATACAGTTGAAAAAACCATTCAGCTTTCTGCCTTGGGTAGATTCAGAAGATAATGTTGGAAACCTTCTGATGGTACGTATCACGAATATTTTACTTTGTTATTTGCTTGGTGTTTACTCATTAGATAGTGCTCAAAATTATCTTCGTTTAGTTGTTTACTTATTTAATTTAATATATTTAACAAGGATTTAGGCTTGCCTCCATGTTGGAGAATGGTCACTACTGTCACTAGAGGTCCTTTTTTCAATGACTCTCTGCTCTTATCCTGACATCTGACCTCAAACGTATTTTTCAGGTCTGGAGGTTCTGCATTACTTTTGCTGATGTCCTGGGGTTATGGCCATTTACCCTTAACGAATTTATTCAAGCATTTCATGACCATGTGAGTTGCTAATGATTTCTAATGTTTTTCTTGTCTTTCTCCTCACTGTGAAGTCTGAACCTCTCTTGTCCTCTCTTTCTTATTTTATATTGGCACTTTATGTTACAGGATTCAAGATTGCTGGGTGAGATACATGTTGCTCTTATGAAATTAATCATCAAAGACATAGAAGATGTTGCAAGGACGCCAACCGGATTGGGGACAAACCAGTATTCTGTAGCTAATCCTGAAGGTGGACACCCGCAGATTGTTGAAGGGGTAAAATCTCATATATATTTCTTTCTTTGGTATAATGAGGTCTGAAATTCATGTATTGATCCTGGATATGGCTGTGTGTTCTATGTAGGCATACATGTGGGGCTTTGACATACGCAAGTGGCAGCAACTATTGAATCCATTGTCATGGCCTGAAATATTTCGGCAATTGGCTTTATCTGCAGGATTTGGCCCACAGGTGAAGAAAACAAATGCAGCATGGCCACACGCGAAGGACGAGGTTTGGCTTTGATGTTATTAAAAATAATACTTTCTTGGCATAATATAGAATTTTCGATAACTGGCCTTGAAAATGTTGGAGCTATCATATTCAGTAGGTTCTGTGTGGAAAATAACTGATTCATGTGATAGAGATCATCTTTTCTGGATGGGAGAATTGAGAAAAGAAAACAAAGATGTGCAATTTGTTCAACTGATTACCAAGTTAGGCAGGTTGGATATAATGAATTATGGGAAGTTCAAGCAACTTGAATCTGAGAAAATTCGTGGTAGCTTAGGGCAATCTCTTATGGTTCTGCTGCTCTGGTTTTGGTTGTTATGAACTGATTTGCTACTGTGAGATTCAAGATTCAAAGTTTGATCGAAGAATATCTTCATTCACAGATCAAAGGTTGTGAAGAAACAGTTTCAACATTACGTAATGGATTGGCAGCTGAAAATGCTTTTGCCTTGATGCGAGAGAAGGGTTTATTAAATCCACGGAAATCTAGGCACAGACTTACACCTGGCACTGTCAAGTTCGCTGCTTTTCATGTCCTTTCACTTGAAGGAAGTGAGGGACTAAATGTCCTAGAACTTGCAGATAAGATTCAGGTGAGTTTCTCTATTGTAGTCGCCTTCTACAGTTTATGTGCACCTGTACTGAAATTTTTCCTGTGCTACAGAAATCTGGGCTTCGGGACCTTTCAACAAGCAGAACTCCCGAGGCATCCATATCTGTTGCTTTAACAAGGGATCAGAAGCTTTTTGAAAGGGTCGCTCCTTCCACATATTGTGTGCGCTCCCCTTACAGAAAGGATCCTGCAGATGGCGAGGAGATAATTGCCACAGCCAGAAAGAAAATCCAAGTATTTGAAAACGGGTTCTTAGGCGGAGAAGAAGACCCTGATGAGGTTGCTGATGAAGTTGATAGAGACGATGACTCTGAGGTTGAAGTTGATGAGGATCCCGAAGTCGATGATCTGCCTATTACTACATTGAGCCCTAACAGACATGTCGAGCAAGCCAACGGAGTCGTCAACTCTCTCTTGGGGAGTGAGATTGATGATGAACAAGAAAATGCTTTGTTGGAAATTGGGAATGATACTTATACACGTGCTGGGTCTCCTTCATTATTCTTGAAAACTGAATCCGAAAATGAACTTTCACCATTCCCTCTCAATAATTTTTCCAGAGACCTGAGTACTGCTGGGACCACCATGGACCAATCTCTTATCAGAGAAGATGTCTTGGTTGGTAGTAATACAAAGGAAGAGAAACCTGAGATTGATGAAAGCAAGTCTGGTGAATCATGGGTACAAGGACTTACAGAGGGAGAATATTCTCATCTTTCAGTTGAAGAGCGTCTGAATGCCCTTTTTGTTCTTGTTGGCATTGTGAATGAGGGTAACATCATACGTGCTGTTCTTGAGGTGAATACTTTTATCTTTCTTTTACTGGTCATAATGGGTTCGTTTGTTTTAGCTTTTTAAGTAAATTATTTTTCAGGTTTTAGTAGAAGTGAATTTTTTTTTTATACAAGATTTTTGTTCTGTGATAGAAATGAGTGTTTTTTTTTGGGATACGACTTTCATGAATACAATTTCAAGCGTGAGTGATTTTTTATCCAACTAATTTGTGCGACTTATGGTTAATAGTTGTATTAAACAGTTAGGTTGGTAAAGTGACTTTTCTTTCATCCAAAAGAAACACCCCCAAATAACTCGGATCATTCATTGCCAGAATTTGTTTTGCTTGTTTTGTACTCGCTTCATTTGTCTTCTCCTTTGTCTTTGTTTGTACAAGGATTATATTGACCTGGATGTCCTTTGCAGGACCGTTTGGAAGCTGCAAATGCTCTTAAAAAGCAGATGTGGGCTGAGGCACAATTAGACAAGAGTCGTTTGAGGGAAGATGTTATGGGGATGCTGGACTTGCTATCAGGTAAATTTGAAGGCCAAGTTAGTGGGTGTGCAACTGACAGCATCATCCAAAGTCCACTCCATCAAGCTGATGGCTTTAAGGAGGCTTCTCAAAGCATGGTAGAAGAACAGAAGTCACTGCTTGCTTCTGAGAATGAACTGAATGACAATGTTCATGCCACAGACAGAAATATGGCAGTTCAGGATCCCTCCAATATAGATCACTTCCCAACTCAACAGTCTGGATCTAGTTCCAAAAGGTTCAGATCGCAACTGAAAGCTTATACGGCCCACATAGCTGAAGAGACCTATATATATAGGTCATTGCCACTCGGTCAAGATCGCAGACGTAATCGTTATTGGCTGTTTGTTGCTTCTGCTTCTCGGAGCGATCCTTGTTCTGGCATGATCTTTGTGGAACTACTTAGTGGGAAATGGAGGGTTATTGATTCTGAAAAGGTAAATGCTCAACTTCCCATATCCTATGTGGATATTTAATTATCCATTGCATATATACTTCATCTAATTATGATGAGACTGTTTCTGATTCAATTTTCTCGTAGGAATTTGATGACATTTTGTCATCCTTGGATAGTCGTGGGATTAGGGAATCCCATTTGCGTATAATGATGCAGAAGATCGAAATGTCATTTAAAGACACTGTGAGGAAGAGCTTGTCACCCGACAATGTTGCATGTCCAATCATGGAAAGCGAAGCTTCTGAAAGAGACTCCAGTCCTAATGGCTCACTCGGTATTGATAGCCCTAGCAGTTTGGTTTGTGGTTCAAACTCTGATACACAGGATGTTTTTTCGTTCTTCCGAATTGAGCTTGGGAGAAATGAAAGAGAGAATAAGGGTGCATTGCGGAGGTATGAGGATTTGCAGATATGGACATGGAAAGAGTGCCTCAGTTCAACGGTGTCATGTGCAATGAAACATGGCAAGAAAAGGTCTAGACAACTGTTGGATGCCTGTGATCTTTGTCTGGACTCGTACTTATTTGAAGACCACCACTGTCTTTCTTGCCACCAGACATTTGACAGTGGCAACAGGATGTTTAGCTTTGAAGAGCATGGAACTATATGCAATGGGCGAAGGAAGCTGGACTCTAAGGATACCCATGCAAGTAATTCATCCTTGCCGTTGGGAATCAGACTGCTCAGGGCTCTGTTAGCTACAGTTGAGGTGAATTGATTTTTAATTTTGCAGACTTGCTGCTTTTCTTAAGCTGAAACAGGAAGAAGCACATTATTCTATTTTCTATAGGTCCCCATTTGCTAAGTAGCTCAAATGTTAAATGTCATTAATGGCAGGCATCTGTCCCAGCTGAAGCTCTCGAACCATTTTGGACCGAGAGCTGTAGAAAGACTTGGAGCAAGAAGTTGGCAAAATCGTCTTCAATAGAAGGACTTCTGCAGGTTTTTAATATAATTCAATTCCAGAAAATGTCATGGATCATTCATTACTCATAGTGTTGTAGTATGATATGTCGATCCAACTTATTCATATATGAATCTTATTCAGCGTTCTAATGTTGCAGATGCTGACAGTGTTCGAGAGTGCTATAAAACCTGACTTCTTGTTGCCTAATTACGAGTCTACAAAAGAATTGCTTGGGATATCTATAGCATTCTATGATAAATCCGATCTTAGCTCAGTTCCTGTGCTTCCTTGGATACCCAAAACCATGGCAGCCGTGGCGCTGAGGCTTTTCGAACTCGATGCTTCTATTGTTTATGTAAAACAGGCGAAGGCTGTGCCTTCCGACTACAACAACCCTGCAAACGCTGTAATGGTAAGTTATTCCCCCTACTGGTTTCGTTTGGTAGAGGAAGAGAGGTACATGAATCAAATATATTAACTTGTCTTCATGGTAATACGTGCAGAAGCTTCATTCAGGGTACTCTCCATTGAAGAACAAAGCTGTTGAACTTGCAGAACGGAAAGAAGACTACTTCAATGGAGAAGTCGCCATCAACCCAAGAAGCAATAAGCGTAACATTGCTAAACCTCGACGAAGGAACCATGATCAAGGACGTAGGCCCAAAGTGCAGAGAAAAACATCTAGTCAGACAGCAAAGAGGACTAGTTCGAAGCCGGTGAGCAACTTCAACCAAGGGGTAGGAGGATCGAGACAACAGCATGGACGTGAGGTGAACATTCAAGGGACAAGTCGGGGTCCACGAACAGTCCGGAAGAGGAGAGTGGAGAACGTGATTACTGGAGACCAACTACTGCTCGGCGGTGTGTCCGGGAATAGGGTCCCACCGCCTCCCAAGTCTGGCAGGTACGGTGGAAGTTATGAGATTGAGGATGACAGGATGGAAGTCGATGACGCGAGTGATGATGACAGCAACAACAACAATAGTGATGCCAGCAGCTCGGAAGAGTCTGACGATGACCATCCGGTGGAGGAGTATGAGCACGGAGGTTGGACCAACCGAGGGTTTGATGATGCAGGTCCCTCCAATGGATGGAAAGACGACCTGATGGAAGATCGCAGCCCCAATAGTGACGATGAAGATCCCAGGCCCACCATGCCTGGTAGTGATGGAACGAGTGACGATGAAGAAGATCGAGACGGAGATACTTATGGTGATGATGAGGATCCTGGGCGTGGAAATGGGAACTCCTTTGAATATGCTTCAGGGGAGGAAAATGGGAATGGTATTGAAGAGGATGATGTGCCAGTGTACCGGGATTCTACGGATGTAGGGATGAGTGATGGGTCGGACGAAGAGCAAGTGGACGATGATGATAAGGTCGTCGAGAGGAACGGTGTTGAAGAAGAAGGTACCAGCGATTCAGATGGCTCAGATTCTGAGGGTTATAGCAGCGATTAAGTGAATTAGTGAGAAAATTTTGCCCCCCTCGTGAGGCTGCATTATAGTTTTTTCCAGGTTGCAGGCTGCATTATAGTTTTTTCCAGGTTGCAGCTGTGATAAAAAAGAAAATCTCAAGCGGCTCAAATATGGCATACAAATGTAGAGAGAGTAGTAGGTTTTTCCCTAGATTTAGGTTTTTGCCCATTTGGTAATCAATTGTTGTTAGTTTGTATTCTATTGAACGGAAAATGGTAATCCTCTGTTTTGATACATGGGATATTCCCATTCTATGGGTACTTTTCTGAACGCTGGAAATCCACTCGTATAATACAAAGGGTAATACACAAACAAGTGAACAACATACAAAACCAAATGTGAAGCTAATATGATGAACCCAACAGCCTCTTGATTCCAGATTTCTGATCAGCATTCAACCTCGCTGGGAACTTGATGCTAAACTTGATCCTCAGGTTACCCCTCCTCGACGGCTCTTTCGGAAGTGGCATTCCTTCTCCGCGGACAATTTCCTCGTAGTCCGGGTGGATGACATTGTTGATCGGAATGCTCAGTGTTCTACCATCTAGAGTTGTCAGGTTGATCGTGCCGCCTGTTAAGGCCTCGGCCAGCGGGATCTTCTTCGTCACCACCAGATCATTCCCATCCCTGGTGAAAGTGCTGTGTGGCTTCTCGTCGATTATGAAGATGAGATCCGACGGAATCAAGTTTGGTTGCTCATTTCCCTTCTCAGGGAAAGTGATCTTCGTCCCCTTCTTCCATCCTGGCTTGATGTCGATCGTCAGGATTTCCTCCACAGGCAGTGTCTTCCTGAAACAGTTTTTATCGTTAAATTCAATCAATCCAAATTCCAGCTAAATTTACTCAGAAAATGATCAAGAGCCCAGAATTTCGCAACCAATTCTGATTAACGGGTGACCTTTCAATTCTACTACTTACCCACTAGCATCGGCGATTTCTCTGGAGATCTTCATCTTCTTAGTAGTACCTTTGTACAGTTCCTCGAGGCTGCAGGGCAAAGCCCTCTCAATCGGAGCCGCTTTCCGAGGACCACCCGCATTCATCGCCGTCCGGTCGCCACCGAATGAACCGAAAATGTCGTCGCCGCCGAACATCCCGCCGCCGAACGACCTGGAGCTCGTCCTCATCCCGGCGGGACCACCACCACCGGACGAGAATCCAAAGAATTCGGCAAAAATGTCGTCGGCGCTTCTCGGGTTGAACCGGAATGACGTCGGCCCACCGCCGGTGGAGAAGAACGTCGCCCCTCCTCCTCCACCGACGCCGGAACCGTCCGGCGGCGGCGGGACCTGCCCTTTCAGCCCTTCTTCCCCGTACTGGTCGTAGATAGCTCTCTTCTGAGGATCGCTCAGTACCTTTGAACATCCCGCCACCATAAATAAACAAACATAAACCTCTATTCAGCAAATCATGCCCGCCAAAAGCAGAGCAAATTAATCAGATGTAGTTTCAGAAATTGCTCTTTACCTCATAAGCTTCTGAGATCTCTTTGAATTTCGCCTCCGCTTGCTTCTTGTTGGTTGGGTTCTTGTCCGGGTGCCATTTCATGGCGAGTTTTCTGTAAGCTTTCTTGAGATCGTCGTCGGTGGCGGTCCTGCTGACTTGCAGAAGGCTGTAATAGTCGACTCCCATGGCTGTTTTTTGTTTCTTCCTCTGCGAATTTGATTTTACCAGAATTCGATTGATCAACAAGAACAGGGAGAGAGAGGGAGAAATATAGGTGGAAAGAAGGAAGAGCAGAGGATTTCTCTGGAAAGTTGGAGCAGAGAGACTAGAAAGGTAGGGAAGTTTCCGGAGAGAATTAGGATTTGTTCCTTTGTAACTCTAGCCTGGCCCAACATACTAACAAACCTGATTTAAATTGGGCCGAAGCCCATCAATCAGGAAACTCATAAAACCCTGAAAGCCCAGTTGTCTGCTTCCCAGACGCGCCATTTCTCCGGCAGGCGGCCAATCGTCTCCGGTGATTTTGAGTTCCCGCGAGCTCGTCTTTCTTCCTCTTCTACTCCTTCGGTCTTAGCTCCAGATCCTTCGACAATGGCGGTAGCAGCGGCTTATCTTTTTCTGTTTGCTTCCATTCTGGCATCTCTCTTAGCTGGTACTTCTCAAGCTCAACCAGTCTCCGAGCACAGCAGCAGCTTGATCGGTCAATTGCACGAAGCCAAGCTCAAGCTCGCGCGATTAGGTGAGTCTTGTAGTAGTAGCAATTTTTTTTCTATCGAAAACGCAAGAGCTAAGCCCTATGTTAGCTGAGCGGCAGTGGATTTTGAACATCTCGTTTATCTGCAGAATCTGATTTCGAGCAAATCGCCCGCGACGTGGAAGCTAGAGACCGTGGACTTGAGGAGAGCGGTAACCAGATCGAGGAGATGGAGAAGAAGCTCGTTGATCTTCAGGCTGCTCACACGAAGCTCAAGGTTAGTTAGTTGCAGAACCAGCTCATTAACAGTCGTGGATTCCTTTATCTCTGTAGCTTAGCATTTCCGGATTTTCCTTTTTAAGGCTCTAATGGCGTTTTTTGGGTTCATTCCTCATTCTAGGATGAACTATCAGCTGGAGATGGAACCATTATTGCGCTGGAGAAAGAGGTAAGGTACTTTTGTGTTGTTCAGGAATTTAATGATTCCCTCTGTCAATGTGTTCAATCTGGTGATTTCGTCCATTCAAGTTTCATTCATCTGTTTGTGGCTTGATTAATGACTAGATACGGGATCTATGGGATACGTTGAGGAAGAACAACTTCGATATCCATGTCTTGAAATTGAAAGCTGAAGAATATGATACGTTTCTGGATACACTTACTTCACATGTTGAGAAGGTCGAGCATTCTTACTCACTAATCGTCTTTCTGATTGCCAGGAGCATTTTTATGGCCTTTTCTCCTTTCTGCATTGCTGATGTTGCTGGTTTTCTTTTGTGGGTTGCCTGCCAGGCAGAAAATATCGTTGCAGAACGGTGGATCCTGATTCAGCAGTTTGAGCAGGCTCTTCAGCTCCTCGATGTACGTCTTATTCCACTCTAGTCACTCCCAATACGTGTATTGAAGATTGTGAATTGAGTTCTTATCCATGGCTTTACTCATTTGTGTCCGGCAGATGAGGGTAATGAAAGCTCGGAAGCAAAGGTATTCAAGATGCACATTCTTGAAGGTAGGTACTTCTCTAGTCCAACTTTCCCGTTTTGCTCCTTATGTTATAAATCTGAAGCTTTTGTACTGCCACATCTACTATTTCGGTATATTTTAAACCAAAGATTGTTGATGATATATTTGGAAATTGCAGTACATAAATGACCTGAATGGAAAGCATATTTCGAAAGCAATTCAAACTTCAAAGCGATTTGGTGAAGAATCTGGCTTCAGTTCCTACATATCCTCCACTCTCGAGCAGCTGAAGAGACTCTACTCAACAGTCAAAGAGTTTCACTTTGAGGTTTGCATACTTCATTCAATATTCACAGAAATATCAAACCTGCCAAGCTCTTATTACAAGTTAACCCTTGATTTTGATTGCAGCTGCAGAGTTTAGTCAGGCAAATAATGGTAGACTACGAGTTTACCGAGTCTATGGCCAATGACGAGGTAGTGTTCTTCGTGGTAAGCTTGCTTCAACTCTAGTCGTCTCCTGGTTTGGAAACTTGGTACAAATTGCATGTTCCCATTTCTGCAACTGCTGATGATGGCAACTGGTGGCAAAATTGCAGGCATCTGCTTTGCTTGTGTTCCCGGTATTAAGTGCATGGGTACTCCTATCGTCTCACCTACTGTAGAGTCTGGTAAGGACTAAAACTACCTCGTACACTTTATGAGAGAACTCAGACTTTCGGGCTAACTTCGTCGTGTAGATGTTCTAGTTCTAGGGTAAAACTTGTAGATCCTTCTGTGCAAAATCTGCCTGCGGCTTCTGAATTTAGGAGCTTGCAAAAAGTTCATGTAGTACTCTAGTACTATTAGTATGAGGATCACTGCCTCGTCTGATGGAACTTAGGAAGCAAGTCATCAGTTGTGTCAAACTGTAAATGAATTCTGTCTCTCTGTGGCCAGGAAAGTGGTTAGTTAAAAGCAGGTATGATACATGTCATGCGATTAGTACTCATCGTACAAGTACGATATGAAACTTTCCTATTCGTATTATCTTTGAACCATTTCATTTACATAGAAACCTAGTTAAAAGCATGTATAATACGTGTTATGTGTTAACACATACTAACATTGTTTAAACCGTCCAAGATTTTCTACTGGTCTAATCAACTACCTTGCTCTCTCTTTTTTTTTTTTGGGTTTGCTTCTCGCTCATGAATATGCTTTAAGCCTATAATATATGATGGTATCAGGTTACTATACAAAACCTACAAAATTTGTGTCTTACCACTCCTGATACGAATCATATATTAATACGATAGTATGATTTGTATCAGATGTGGTAAAATGCTAGGTTATGCAATTTTGAATTTTGTATCCTATCATTTTCTGAGTATTATCTTTGATGTCCATAATTTTAGGAATTGAATTTAATAATTTATTAATCATTGATAATCTGTATGGATTGAGGCCCAAAAGGGAAGAAAGTATGGTCAAGCCAGGCCCACTCTCAAAACAGTGGAGTCCATTTCGGGCACCTGATCACCACCACAATCTTTCCAGTTTCCAGTTTCCACATCATGCACACCACAGAAACTGCCTGATCGTTTCTCATCTTTTGCCACCTCGCCGTCGAACCGCACAATGCATGAGCCACCGCCGTGGGAGGAGAAGCTCAACCACACGATCACCCACATTCTAACGAGCCCGACCACCGCCCCGCCGCTCTACTCTCAATTCCTCATCGCCCAGCACTTCCCCTGCTACCTCAACTGGGACTACCCTCCAGTCCTCTGCCACCACCACGTCACCGCCGGCGGCCGTTTCCCTTCGCTCCTCCAGTGCCGGAGACCTCGTGGCGGAGCAAGTGTCCCTACCAGCAGCCGCCGCCGCTGGTTCTGGCGAGAGGGCTGGAGGAGGCGCGGTGGGGCGAGGAGGAGAAAAGGGAGTGTTTCAGGAAGAGGCTGAGAAGGAAGAAGCTGTTCAATAACATTCACCCTTTGATCCCCGCCGTCGTTCCCAATCTTTGTCTGCTGTCGTTCTTGGAACCCGTTTTCCCGATGATGAATGATAGACGAAGAATGAATCGTCGTCGTGTTTTGGGGATTTTCTCCGGTTGCTACACACTTCTATTGGGCTGGGCTTGACTCGTGTGTGGGGGTAATGTTGCTCAGTAATCATTGGCATTGCTTCACGGTAGTGTAAAGGCCCATTGAAATTTGCAAGCTCCAAAGTCCAAATGCTAAATAACAATATTCAGATGTGTTATGTCTAGGAAACAATAAAGGCTACTAAATTTTACTTGATGTGCTGATTAATACAGAAGAGACTTCTCGAATCATGTTTAAAGCGCATCTCAAAGCAATACCTCGGTCGATTTTAAGGACAAGTATTCCATAGCAACCCTTGTCTGCTCTGCTCATATGAATTTGTTTAACATTCTAGTATTCTAACACCAAGCTAAGCGTCCAATACTATAAAGTTGGATCCACGTCACCATCAATCATGAAAACGAGGGACAATTAAACAAACAAGCAATAGAAAGTATTCTTTTATTAATGTTTCCTGATGAGCTCAATTCCAGGCGTCAATCTTCTCTAATTAAACAACAATCCCCTAACACAATAGTCAAAGTTAGGACGCTCTTTGAAACAACTTCTAGAGGTCAGCGGGTCAACACATGATCTGTTTCGGTATCGTACGTACCAGCATTTTAACCACATAAACCATCTATCGTCGAAATAGTCGTTATAGTCTACACATTAAATTATGGTTCTTCCCCTTGAAATCAATTTGGATCTCTCGTTTAGTCATACCAAACGACTTTGTGGCTTTGTCCCACCTTCCATCATGAATTGGCAATCACTACTCACTAGGACGTGTAATCGGCACCAAATCGAAAGTTCTCTTCCGCTAGTCACGGAAAAGCCGAACCGCGCCTAAACCCAAGAAGATAAAGCACACTCGAAACAAAGCAAAAGAGCAGCTAAAGATATAGAGGAGGAAAAAGAAAAGAGCTTCTTATTCTAATTGGAGTATTTGGTCAAAGGATACAAAGAACAATCGTTGACAAAAAAGCTCGACCACCTACGAAAAAAAAAACTAATTACTAATTTATTGGTATGAATGTATATTGTAGTCCTTAGATAAAGTTACTTCATGAAAGAAAACATAAAATAATATTAATTATTATTTTGGAATTAAATCGATTGCTAATATGAGGTTGTTGAAATTCGAATGTAAAATCTATCGATCATCACATACTCTAATATCGTGTTAAAAATCAACCGGTTTCAATAATTTTAAATGGGTATACGAGATTATCCTTCTCCGGAACCAGAAACTCTATTAGGATTAGCATAGGGTTGGTTTCGTTAGTCTAACCGGTTTCAGCATGAGCGAAGCCATGTATGTTGTGAGGAATTTGTAATAAATTTGAGAATCAAAATAGTTGTCATGCACGCTTCAAGTTTACTCTTCCTTCCTCTCCTTTATGTTCTTTTGGTTCGCGACCAATGTCACACATATAATACGAAGCAAAACATTTACTGAAGGCAGCAGCTTCTCTCATCTTTTGCCGGCTTTTTCCCCCCCATTGAATGATGATAGCATTTGCTTTCTCCCACTATCACTCTGTCGATGAAGAAAGACATGCAAAGCAAAGTACTGCAATGAAATCCCATTCCCCACCCCACACCCGGCTGTCCCTCGTACAAATCTCCAAAACAAAAACAAACAGTAACGGGATGTCAAACCAGTTGGTCTTCATAACTCGAAAATTGTCGTTGACAGATTCTGAACAAACATTGAGCAGCTGATGGCTGTTTAGGGGGACCTCATGCCCTGCCCTAAATTTCAAGAGTGATTGGGTATTTGGGTAGGTTGTTCAAACTTCAAACTGCCCTTGAACGAGCAAAGTTTAATGTCCAACAATGATAGCTTCAAAGAAGGACCATATCCCGTTGTTGTTACACGGGTAAATGAAATTAACAAAAGCCACCACAACCAGCAACTTGAAAAGTACCCTTCAAACCCTAAATCCCGCTCATTGCACAAACAATCAATTTGTGTAAATGTACTATGGGGGGAAATTATGAATTGGGAGGTGGGATTGGTGGGTGTGTGTGGACCAAACTCCCAATGTACAAAAATGGCAAAACAAAGCCAAATTAATAAGAGGGCAGAGCGGGGACGTGTGGGAACTGGGAAGTGAGAAGAATAAATGATCTGATCTTTAGCGACGAGTTGAAAAGAGTGGTGGGGAAAGAGGAGGAGTGGGAGTACTATTATAAATTTATAATAAGTGCCATAATGTTGGGTTTTTGTGGTCTTTGCATGCTTTGCTACTTGCTAGCTCTTCTTTGCATAGTTAGTAAAATACGGTACGGGAAAGTTACGTAAAAGATACGTACGGGCATTATACTTCATCTTTAAGCTAAAATTACGTTTAATAGTACGTTAATAGTCATAAATATATAAAATTAATCATTTTAAAAATAAATAAATATATAAATAATAGTAAAGTTAACAATTTAATTCGTAAAATACGGATAATAAACGTGTTATACGGGTTTTATACGTGTTTAGTACGGGAACCATGAAATGAACGGGGGGAAATGAAACGGCTTGACAATAATACGGATACGGAAGTTTTAAACAGATAAAGTACGTACGGGTACATATACGTGTATTAAACGGAGTATTTACTAACTATGCTTCTTTGTTCCCCACCCACCGCTGTCTCCGCATAATTACCCCGCACTCGACGCCTTTCTTTCTTTCTCCCTTTTCTTCTTCCCATATTCTTCATTTTGCCCATGTACCTACCTATATGGGTTTGACTCATGGTAGGTCGTTGGGTGGGGTGATCGATGGATGTTCGTCGGGTTTTTCGATAAATGCGGTTGGATTCGATCGAATGATAAGATATATCGAGTTAGGATATCGATAAAATCAAATAACTTTAAAATAAGACGATGATCGAGAAATTCGACGGGGTGTTTTTAAGAAAATGTGCACGCCGAATTGAAAAAAAGACGTAATCATCTGTTCCGGTCGATGCATAGTTCAATATCTATCAATTTGAATTTAGTTTATGGAATGTTCATATGCTCAATTGAAAAGGAAGTCTTGGCTCTTGAGTGACGATGGAGCTTGTCGAAGCATGGATCGTGGATTGGATTATCAATCAGACTAGCAAGATGGGATGAAGACGATGGTTGTATATTATCCCTAACATCTATGAAATGTCTGCATGATTTAACTTTTAATTAACCATTATATTACGGGTAATAATTAATACCCATGTCTACATTTTATTGATCTACTTAACTGTATTGCTAATCGATATTTTAGATTGTAAGATAACCCAATCTTGAATCAAACCATGTATAATGGGATATCATATACTCTAAAAATTGATTGTAATCATAGCTAGCATTCCCATTGATTTGAGCCTATCTTACGGCACCAAATCCACAATCACCAGAATTTCTGTATTTTTATACCTAGGGTTTGAAAAAGGGACTGCTGTTTTTGTCCTCCCACTATGGGAATATTTTTCCTTATTTATTCAAAAGAGCATAAGCAATTAATTGTAGTAAGATCTTTCTTAACCTTTTCTTCTTTCTTTTTGTTACCGTGTTTGAAAAAGAAACAAAATCAATTAGGAATAAACGTGACCCAAAGATCATAATGGTAGACCTTCTGTGCCAACATTTTCTATTTTTCTTTCATCTTCCGGGGATTGCAAGAAAAGCTTTCCCCAATATTAATCAATACAGAGGAATCATTTGTACTCATTGCCACCATTCCATTTACCACCTTCTACCTTAAGAAGGAGATGATCACTTGTGCTAAAACATATGTAACAAGAAAATACTCCTCCGCTAAATATAACTAATGGTATAAGTCAGTAAATCATCCTTTTATGCCAACATACTCTAATAAAAACACGAAATCCGTGATTTCAAAACAACATAAACACAAAGACTTGTTCATCACTCGGGAAAACTACAAATAAGAAAGTCAAAATACCATTTTCAATCAATTTCATACCATCATGGAAAAACTAAGAAACTTGGAGGATAATTAAGGAAACCAATAACATACAAATGGAAACTAAAAACCCTGAATTCAAGTCTAGAAAACAAGAAAAGGGAAATTCCAAATTCCCGGCCCCAAAAAACCCGACTACTCATTTCCATATATAAATCCCACCTTTCCTCCTTCTTCTCCCTTCATCACTTGCCACACTATACACTCTTCTTCACTCTCCCTTTCCCTCACAAGCCCTCTTCTCTCCAATGGCTTCCTCTCCAAATTACCACGCCGCCGCTCTCTTCCTCCTCCTCGCCCTCTTCTCCACCGCCGCCCACGGCCGTGAGAGCCACTTTTTCAGCAAAGTCGCCGCCGACACAAACCCCACCCCCACCACCGTCACCATTTCTCCCGACTCCAAAGCCACTCTCGCCGCCGCAAGTACCAACAACGGCCAGCAGTACCAGCAACAGCCTTCCTTCGTCCAGGAAAACGACAACAACGGCTACGGCATCTACGGCCACCAAACCCCCGAAGAAACGACGTCGTTTGACCAGACCGCCGCCTCCACCAAGCTCACCTCTTCCCCGACCAACAGCTACAACGCCCAGACCAATAGCGACGAGACTTTTCGCGACGACGTAAATCCTAACGCCTTCAACAACGGACAGGAAGGAACGGCGTCGTTTGACCAGACCGCCACCACCACCAGGCTCACCTCCACGCCGACCAACAGCTACCTCCCCTACAACGCCCAGACCAATAGCGACGAGACTTTCCGCAACGAAAACAACGACGAGAAGTACTACAACAACGACAGGTACTACGGCCAGAGCGGGTACAACGGCGACAACAACAACAACGACGACGAGTTCGAGGACGAGGATTTCGGAGAGACGACGAGCCTGCAACAGCAGGACAACACCGGTTACAAGACGACCGTCGCTAAAGGTTACAACAATAACAACGGTTTCGAGAACAATGCCGTCGCTAAAGGGTACAACTACAACAACAACAACGGAGCTGAGAGGCAGGGGATGAGCGACACGAGGTTCATGGAAGGAGGGAAGTACTACGTGGACATCAACAACCCGAATCAGTACCAGCAAGGGATGAGCAGCAGCAGCAGCAGCGATGATTTCAGCTACGGCAACAACAATGTGAAGAATCAGAATGGTTACTTTAGCAACGGGAACAATGGCGACGAGTATGCCAATCCCATGAACAACAGGAACCAGCAGCAGCAGCAGCAAGAGGCAGAGTACTTCCAGGGGAACAACTACCAGAACCAGCAGTACGTTCCTTGATTATTATTAGAGTAATTAATGGGTTCTGGAGGGTTTTAATTAAGTTAATTAAGTTGTTCATTAGTAAGCTTGAGGAGACCAAATTACTACCAAGTTAGTTACTAAGAAAGAATGAAGCTGAAATGCTGAATACATATAAATATGGAGATCTTGTTTTGTTGTTGGATTGTGGTGTAGGATCCCTTGTGTCTTATATTGTTATTTCCCTTATGTACCATGGAACTAGTATGTTTCTGTTTGAAGAATTCGTGTTATTAGTTATCTACGTTATCGATCGTTCGAACTTCGAACCCAACATCTTAAAATTACGACACTATTGTACGTGGTACTATGTAACATTTTCTGAAAGACAGAGTGGGGGTGGAGCTCAGTTACTCAATTGCAGAGAATAATAAGAGGCAGGGGGATGAATTTGGTTGTAACCTCAAATTGCCCTGTTTCACAGGCAAACTAACTCTAATCAATTCACTTCACTCGAGTTGTCATTCTGTAATTATTGTGCTGGAAAAATTGAAAGTGGCCAGCTACATCCAGCTATATGGGTAAAAGAAAGTAACTTGAAATAATCATTGGCACCAGAAATAAGTCTGCTTGTTCAATGTTTCGATCTTTTTAAAACATTTTATCGTTCTTTTGAATGGTTTAACTTCTCATTTTGTCATGATTCATGTTCAGTTTGAATCCAGTGAGACTAATAACCTGCAATAAAAGTCAAAAACTAAACTTACATCAAGATTAATATGATGATTACACATAATATGACTTTGGTGCAATGATCACCAATGAAAAAGTGGAAAAGTGAAAGGCTAAAGGAAAAAAATAGAAGGGTGGAAACAGAGGCCATGTGCCCCACAATCCTTCCCACTGTTATAAACATCATCAACTCCACCAAGAGTCCATCACTACCATGGAAGTCCAACTTCTCCAACTCTCTTCAAAAGTCACAACTCATCTCTATCTTGTTAGGCAAAAATGGGGTCCAACAAGTCCTCCAACTTGACCTACTTCACCCATAAACAATCCAAAGATCCTTAAATAGGACAATGACCCTTAACTTGTTCACCTTTTGGCCCATACCTTGAGAGCTAGTTATAGCTACATAGCCATAGCTTATCCCTTAAAAGGGAAGGAGAGCTTGTCCTTTCTAAAGGGTATGTAGATCCATACATTGAACCCAAATTGGAAATCTCTCTAGATCAAAGCTTCAATCTTTCAACTGCTATACCTACTAAGTGATGATTGAGGTTGAAATTAAACAGATGGGTTGGATTGAATGTGACTGATCATGTACAACTTATTTGATGAGGGTGACATTTCCCTTATCCCTAGTTAAGGGTACAACAACTAGAGAGTTGCCCGATTGACATTCCTCTCTGTGGGATTTGCTGAGTTGGGGAAGGGAATAGGGATCAGTGTGGGTGGAGAGGGAAAGAGGGGATATGGGGCAACCACTAATGTATAAGACCATGTGCTGTCTTCGTTTTCACCATTATTGAAAACCCTAAACCCCACTTGGGTGCGGTTTTGGTTGTGGGGAAAACTATGTTCCTTCCTCAGTTTCTCAAGTCTCACAGCTTGTTTGGATATAATTCTGTTGGAAAAGGAATTCCATTTCTTGTGAGAATCTGAATTCAAGTGAGAATTCATTTTAAAATTTTATGTTTGGAACAAATCCAAAAGTTTGGGAAATGATTTCATCTTTTTATGTTTGGAAAAAATGGAAATGATTTCTTACGAGTGCTTTTACAATAATATCCTTGGTATTAGTAATTTCAAATCCAAAAGTAGTAAGGGCTTTCTTGTAAAGGTGAGTCAAAATTAATGTGGGGTCCACTAATTTCATCACCCCCTCCACCAATTCCGACCACTTTTGGTAGGAATTAGAATTTCCTACTTTTTGCCTTTTGGAATTCCATTTCCTTTTTACTTTTTACTTCCAAACATGAGAATCATGGAAAGTTTGGGAATTGGAATTCCATTTCCTCAAAATTTAGCCTTTCCAAACAGGCTGTCAACAAATGTTAAAAGTTAAGACCATGCATTACCATTTTGTTTCCAATGAGTATTTGACTATTTGGATGTGTTAGTGGGAGTTGTATTTGGGAAAAGCATGTATTTTTTGGATCTCGTGCAACATATTCCAATAGACCAATACCATACAAAGAATTCATGAAATAGAATGTATCCAAATTGGTCTTCCTGTACGACAATGCGAACTCGATAAAAAAAAAAAATTATTTCCTAGCACAGCTTCTTGTCACATCATTCTAAATGTATCATAGTAGTCATATAAACAATTTGGGAAAACTATCATTGCGTAGAACAAGCGGACACATTATCACTACATTCTTTACTTTTCGATACTTGTATGTTAGAAAATTATTAAGATCCATACATGAATCTCTCCTAACAATTCAAATGATTAGTATGTATCGTCTTAACCTCTCCCTTGAAGATCACTCTCAACCTGAATTTCAGGGTACTAACATAAGCCTATGCCTAGCATATACAACACCAACGCCCTCTCATACAAGACTGGTTAGGAAAGAACCAACGCTCTCTCCACCGCCATGTCCGTGGTCCAAATCTCTTTCACTCCATCCATCATCCCTCAAACCTCTGCAAGTCTCTTCTTGAACAAGAAAACAAAAGAGTATTCTCCACCCTCCAAATCCTCTGTTTCGAGATGGCAGTCCACCAACATGGAATTCCCATAAAAATGTCCACCTTCTGCTGCTCTGCGCCTCTTCACCTAATTGCACGACCTGTACATTAACTTATGGAAAGGAAGGAGAACATGTCTGCACCAATTACGGCCCCCACTCACCCAATCAAAAAACAGAGGTCGGTTAATGGTCGCTCTCAAAAGCAGAGCATTGAGAAGCTCACTCTCATTCCCTACATGCAACGACGTAGCAAGCAGGTGGTTAGTTAGTACACTTTCCCACAAGTCTGCCTTGAATGGCGGCAGAGGAGGAAGACTCTTTGTTTTTCTAACCAAATCGTTTGACTTGAATGAATGCCGGGTGGTAATTAATTAATTAATTACTCAATCATCGTCATCATCCACTCCAGTAAAACAGTAATTGTTTATTAAAAAAGGTGTAATGACCCGGAGATTGGATTACAGCTGGTGACAGTTGGCGGAGAGTATAAATACCCAGAAGGAATGTATTGAAATCATCTTTTGGAGAATAAGTCAAACACTAAGTGTAGTATAGTTTCCCTTTCCCAATTTTCTCTTCCATTTCTCTGTAAATCTCTGCTTCTCTGTTCGCTGGAATAAACTACCGATCCTCCGTCATTACAAGTGGTATTCAGAGCCTTTCTTCCAGCAACAATGGCGCCGGAACAGACACACAACACTCGTCTTTCCGTTCTTGAGGAGCAGATGACGTCCGTGGACGCGCAGATGAGTTCTGTTGTCGCGTCGATTGCCGCTCTCCAGGACACTCAGATCCGCCATTCTCAATCATTCGAGAAAATTGAGTCGTCGCTGCAAATGCTTCTCAATCGCTCGCCGCGTCCGTCTTCTCCGCACGGTCAGGCGGAGTCCAGTGATCGGAGTTTTGGTCGACATCAGCATCGCCGGTCCGCCATTGCTGATCATTATCCGCGGATTGATCTCCCTTTCTGTCACGGTTCTGATCCGCACTCGTGGCTTCGCAAGTGTGCCAAATATTTCCAGATTCATTCCATTCCGGACGCTGAGAAGGTGGAGGTGGCCTCGTTCTATCTGGAGGGACGGGCGAATGTGTGGTATGAAGGCTGGGCGTGCAACCGTCAGTTCTTGCCGTGGGAGGTGTTCGTCGGAGATCTCTTATTCCGTTTCGGTGAGAAGGATCAGTTGAACGTTGTTGGGGCGTTTAACAAGTTACGGCAGGAAGGTTCGGTGGCCGATTACCAGGAGGCATTTGAAGATCTGCGAGCTCGGATGCTGCGGTTGAATCCGGGTCTCACTGAGTCCTATTTCATCATGAGTTTCATCAGCGGCTTGGATGAAGAAATTCAGCCTCGCGTGCAGATGCTTTTGCCACAATCCTTGTCGATTGCGTTTCACCAAGCTCGATTGGAGGAGATGTCGATTGCGGCCCGCAAAAAGAAGAATCGACCGCCGTCGAAGTGGATTTCCTCTGCTACTCCGTCGGGAAGCAAGAATTTCTCGACGGATTCTTCTCCTTCCCCGGCCGTTTCAGTCGATCGGCCTGCTAATCCTCGCAATCAAGGTCTCTGTTATAAGTGTGGCGATAAGTATTTCTATGGCCATGTGTGTGCGAAGAAGAAGCAGATCCAGCTGCTTCAGGCGGATAGTTCTCCGGTAGACAGTGATGAAGAGGTAATTGATTTGGTTCAGCCATCGGCGACTGCGGAAGAAGTGGAGGTCTCGATGCAGGCTCTCGGATCGGGCGCCGTTGGCCGTGCTTTGCAGATTCCAGCGCGGGTTGGTCGCCGCGAGGTGGTGGTTTTGGTGGATACGGGCAGTAGTCACACTTTCTTGAGCGAGTCCAGAGCTTCCGAGTTGGGGTGCCGGCTCGACTCGGCGCCACCGATGAAAGTGAAAGTGGCAAACGGCGACGCGTTGCTGAGTCGCTCAGTGTGTCGAGGGTTTCGTTGGAGGATGCAGGGTACTGAGTTCGAGTTCGACGTTCGGACGTTGGATCTGCGGGCCCATGATTTGGTGCTGGGCCTTGATTGGTTGGAATCGGTCAGCCCAATTCAGTTGGACTTAAAGCAGAGGCAGATGTCCTTCCTTTGGCAGGGCAAGCAGCTTACACTACAGGGCTTGGTTGGCGAGGCCCAATGCAAGTTGTTATCGGGCCGGTCGTTCCATAGATTGCTGAAGAAGAAAGTGGCCCAGTTTACAGGTCACTTGTTTTCGATCTCCTCTGCTACTTCGTCTTCTTCCCCTCCCTCCCCTCCTCTGTTCATTCAGCCGCTCCTATCTCAATTCGAGGATGTCTTTTCCACTCCTACTACTCTTCCCCCTTCCCGTTCCTTTGACCACGCCATTCCAATTGACCCAATGTCCAAACCTATCAACATTCGTCCTTACCGAATTCCTCACCACCAGAAGGCCGTTGTTGATAAGTTGGTGGGTGAGATGTTGGCTTCGCAATTTATTCAGCCGAGTCAGAGTCCTTACGCAGCGCCGGTCTTGTTGATTGGGAAAAAGGATGGGAGCTGGCGTTTTTGCGTGGATTATCGACTCCTCAACTCGATTACGGTCAAGGATAAGTTCCCCATCCCCATTATCGATGATTTGCTGGATGAGCTCCATGGTGCAAAGTTCTTTTCGAAGCTGGATTTAAGGGCGGGTTATCACCAGATTCGGATGAAGCAGGAGGATCGTCACAAGACCGCTTTTCGGACCCATGAGGGGCATTA